CTGCAACATTTAAGGCGGAACGGGAAAATTCGAACAAGAAGCTGGCGAATGGTGCCTGAATGTAACTACAGCACCTTTTAAGATGGTACAGGCAAATTCAAACAAAAAGCTGGCAAATAAGATGACTCCAGCTTCTTCAAGCCAGCGAGTATTTTGGGGGCAGTGGGCTTTTGTTTGCAGGATAACAGACTTAGCTTTGGCTACCGTACATAGTGAGCCATGCTTCTTGCTAACTTTGACAGATCTATGAAAAAAATCCACTTGAAACTTACTGATTTCAATACACTGCAATTATAGCCATTTTATTTGCTATCCAAAACTACCTGTGAACTTACACGTGTCTTCTGAGTTTTCATATCTAATGTTGATACTAAAAAAATGTGGGTAAATCTGGAAAAATTGGTTTTCTTTGAGTACTACTTGCCTCATAACTCCCTGCATATACCCCTCCGCTACAAATAGATTTTAAAAAGTTAGTTTAAGGCCAAAAGCTTACATTGGAATTAGCATAAAACAACGTCTCAGGCATTGCGCAACTCATTTGTAACCATTTAATGTAAAGCATTCAATGTTTCAGATGTAAACATTGAATGCTTTGAAACTGTGAAACTGAACAATTCTGAATCAGTAGAATGGAGCATTTCACAACAAACTCTGAATAACTTTGTTGACATCTTAACCATTTAATTATGCAGAACGTTTGAAAAAAATTGTGCATGTATAGTCAATTCACATCCGCCCACATCTAACTGTATCTTCCAAAACCTAGCTTATTTCCACCCACACTAGGCACAACCATGCCGTGTCATATCACTGAAAAGCTTGTTTCCTGTAGAATCTAACATCCACATATGTCTATTTCCTTTGTACTAATGACAACACACACAAATGGTGCATGTTTTCTGAGCTCTCACTGGATAATACAGTTCTGAAGCCCATTCTTAAAACCGCTTTTCTCAAAATCTGCTTTTCTCTACATGCTGAACCAAAAGTGAACCTTCTAGAATACCTACATTCATACATTTTTTTTATGGTTAGATACATGGTGAGCAGTTAGATACCACTGTTGTCACAAATGTGTCACAAAGTCTAAAAAAAGTCTGTGTGTGACACTAAGAATTGTCACTACAGAAAAACATTTTTTAATTAAGTAATTAAGTAAATTTTTGGTGTTTTAATGAAAAATGATTAAATAATAAAAAATATATAATTTTTCGGCGTGTACAATTGTTGAAAGCTATGTTTGCTAGTCATCTAATTTTTGAGTTATGCTCAAAATTAGCTAAAATAGTCACAACCGAAACATTTGGTAAAGTTTTGGTAGTGACAAAAAGAAATGTTCAATCATTTGTTTTAAGGTATGGGGTCATTCAAAGCAATATGATTTTAGTCTAAAGTCCAAGTCAGTTAAAAGTCCGAAATGTGTTTTGTTAAACTCTGACTGTAAACCAATACGATAGAATGATCCAGATCCAGATAATGTTTCATTCGCATATCTAAAAACTTCTAATACAAAAAAATACTTTAATTTGAGTAATCAATTGTCAAAGAACCATTGTGATACCTATTGTTTTAAAAACTTTACCATGTTTATCTGTGTTGGTTCTCCTTAAAAGCAATACGACAATGTGTTATGATTTTGATAAATTAAAACACAATATTGTTGCTGTCAGAATAAAACCTTGTATCTCCAAAATGGTAACTATACAGCAGAAGGGAAAAACTTTAACTTGTAATGGAAGTTTATGTAACAAGATTTTTTTACAGGTTATTTAGGAACTGTAACAACTTTAAGGATGGGTGGAGGGAGGACGCCGGGGGCAGGTGTGGACGCTGGCTGGGACTTTTCAGTCCTTTCTTTCATTTTGTTCAGCTCAGCTTAGCTCTCTTCGGCTTGGCTCTCACACCTTCACGGGTCTCCTTCTCTCTCTGGGCTCTGCCACCTACTGAGGGAAGAGATGACTATAAGTAGGCTGGCAGAAACAAGGCACAGGTGAATATCATCAGCTACCTAGCCCGCTGGTTCAGCCCGACCGGCTTCTCCGTCCTGCATTCGACGCTCAGCCAGTTTAGACCCAACACAGGGAGCCTGTAAACAGCAAAAATAAATAACAGTAACTCTGCAAGCTGCATAGCAACAAGAAGCTGGATATCAATTTTCTTACCTTATTATAATATGAATAATATTGAATTTTAATAATCTAATTTCATTTTCTTCCATTTTTTTCTATTTTCCTTCTGTAAAAGTTTATTTCACAAGTGGCAAATTAAAACTAGATTGTTGCACTAATAATTGATCAACTTTTTCCAGTGTTGCAGGACTGTTTTACTGGTGCATTTTGTTCTTTCCAACTTGATGGAAAACTTTAAAGAAAGAGAAACGTAGAGTGATACATATTATGAGGTGTCTTAAACACTACTCATCGTGAACAAAATCAACACATGATGTTTTTTCATGATCAAAGAAGGAAGGGTGAAGAAATCAGGCTGTAATCTGTGGGTTAACCGTCCACAGACATTTCCCTTTTCTAGCATATAGCACAACATTAGTATAGAGTTCTTGATATCAGCGTGAACTATTCCAAACAGCCACAAGCAGTGAGATATTCCTGAAAGATTGTGTCAACCATTCCAGTAAAGCTTTCCACAGTTGCATGATCTTTGACCAGAATTCTTATGGAAAAAGGTCAGCTGCTGTGACACATTTTGGAGGAGTAAATGAGGGACGCTCCTGACCACACCTGCACACATTCCAGTGAGATAGATGGTATAAAACAACTACAGACATTAGTCATTTCAACGCCAACTGCTGAAGCTTTCTAATCCATTAGAAAGGGAGTATCCAAGGTAACTTTACCAGAACATGTCCCAGAGCGGCATTACAAATAACACAAATGTGAAACGTGAAAAAGGGACACCGTCAGGAGGCTTAATGACTTTTGTTTAATGTTAAGTAGAAGTAATCTGCCATCACTGGACCTTCTGGTACTTTCCAGCAACAGTCAGTCAGAAGATCAGCTGGGGTGGAAACTACTGGGAATAAAGCGCCTGAACTAACTGGAAGACAACAAAACACAGAATCCAAAATAACTGCATAATGCTAAACAACAAACTATTGGTTAGATGGAACAACATCTGAGTAATAGCAGCCTGATAGGGCATGTCTGTGCAGGAGAAGAGACAGGCTCCTAAACACTGTGTAATAGTCCTCAGTCTACAGAAAGGAAATTAGCAGTTAGAAACGAGACAGAGACACAGCTCCCCCATTAGCAATCAGCCAGGTACAACAGCACTTCACCACAACACTGAAGATAATAATTCAGCCAGACAGCAAGAACAACAACTCAGTAAAAGCCATTTCAGTGTTTGCGCCCATTCTTTACATAACATCTTATTTTAGGGTGGAGTTAAGAGTCGTACAAGCCCAACGCAGTTAATAGATATTACTGCCCTCAGCAGCACATGAAAATGACAAAAAAGTATTAAATTATAATATTCATGTAAAACAACCAATGTTTGCTGTTTATAGAGCACACAGAAATATTCTACTTTTTATATTATTGTTCTAGATCATATATGATTACTGCCTTTTGTACTGTTACACTGAATAAGACCAGGGTCACCTGTAGGCTACTCACTGCTCGTCAAATGTCTGAGGACAACACGCTTCCTAAACTGGCTTCAATACAAGCTTTCTTTGTCAGCTTGCAGTAACATTAAAGACTAATCATGTTGTTGAGGAACACAAAAGCACAGTATCACATGCATCAGCACTCAAACTTTTCAGGCATTTAAACCAGCTTTGTGGCAAAACATTTTTAGTATTTTAACATTTTTAAATTATTTCAAGACTTTTCAGTATTTTAACAACAGATTGGAAAAGAGAGCTGTCAGAATCATTATTTAGACAAAACGTATTCTTCCTACCAAAGCAAGCAGTTGGATGAACATGAAGTTGTTATAAAATACCCAAAGTATTAGCAGCTCTTTTATATGTCTTTTTATCCCTCAGGAGAGGCACATCCATTTCAGCAATTAGGCACTACTTTAAAAAAGTAATTGAAACAAAGTTTAAAAAAAACATCATCGTGATTTATTATAAAGTTGTAGACAAAAGTTCAGGCGCCCCAACCAAATGATATTTTGTTGGTTTTTTATAGTGAAAAGAAGGAAACAAGATATCTGCAGCAAACCATTTTTCCAAAATAACATTTTCTGTAAACGGTAATGCACAGTTATATCATGTTTGATTAACTTGACTAACTCACTAGGCAAATCAGGAATTCATTAGGAACTGTCAGCTGATGAAGGTGGCTCAAATACTTGGGACAATTCATTTCAGATGTAAACTTTGGATGAATAGCCCTTAAAAATGACTAAATAAATAAAGCAATGTTACCTATTTTTAAGCCTTTTTTCTGTTTTCAATTATTATTGACTGGGATTTTGTTGTTGCCATTGAAATGGGATGTTGTGTTGTGGTGTTAGCATTTACCCTTTGGATTCAGGTATGACTAATTCTGTTTTTGCTTGAATGAAAACAGAACAAAAATCTTTCAATCTCACAAAATAAGTCTTATTATGTAGACATAATGGGATATTGGACATTCATATTCAAAGCTATTTCTGTTCATTTTCATAAGATAAAAACAAAAAAAATTCAAGTGTTGCTCAAAGTTTACATAACCATGAAATTTCACTTAATCTCACTATTTAAGTCTTTTTAACATTATTATTATTATTATTATTATTGTTGTTGTTGTTGTTATGTGTTGTTGTTGGCATGCCCAGGGCCTCGCAAAACCTTGACCTGTATATGCATATATGTGTACATAGCAACATCTCCATTTACAAGTGATATTGTGAAAAATGCTAACAAGGTGCAAGACAGAGATCTGGTCCAAGAGTGAAGTCTCTGTTTAATATTTCAGCATGAAGAGAATTCCATTCTAATTATGGTACCAGTCTGAAATGAACAGATCAGAATGAACAGGACAAACTAAAGAGAAGAACAGCATTTTATTGGAGGCGAAGTACATTTACAGTTAAACTTTATTTATATCTTTAACTCAGACAAGGTAAACAAGAACATGACATGGCATTGCACTTTCAAATAAATTAGTGATTTTTAAATCATGCAGCTTAGCAAGGACTTTAGGCAGTACAACAAAGGCGTCTCAAAGCTAATCTGGTCCCAGGTTTGCACAAGAATAAGTGAATAAGGCTGGGATGTTGGGGTGTCTTTCACATAGAGAATGTTAAGTGTTTTTTATTCTGATCTGTGGTAGTAGCAAGTGAAGCAGATGTAACTCTATTTTAATGTCAGCCATCAAGAACATATTATAATTAAGGCTGCACAATATAGTGTTTCTTAATTGTTACAGCGATATTGACCTTTACAATAGTGGCAAAGAAGAAGCCTGCAATAAATTAGTTTCGAATCACAATGTTTGTTCCTATGTGCTGACCAATCACAGTTCCAGATAAGTGAGTTTTGATTAATCAAGGTATGTATCAGATCACGTAACTCATTAAACATATTAATAATATATTGTAAGGTACATCTCTATCTCAATATGTAGCAATATAATTGCAACAGTATCATTTTGTTCATATTGTGCAGCCCTAATTATAACAGTCATACTTACGACAAGCATCACTACTGCACGTCAGTTAGAGGATGCTATTTTGGATTTTATTCTATTGATCTTCATGGGTAGAAGGGACACCATCTCTTCACTGAGCTCCAGTTCAGTTTCCACTGCTTTCTTGGCTTCTGGGTGCTCCTCACAATACTGCACGACAAAGTTGTAAGACTCAAGTGAGTGGTTGAGATTCTCCAGCTGAGCATTCAGGTTGGTGGTGATGATCTTGGACTGTAGCCGAGCGACACGAAACTTGGCCGCTAACGCTGGTCTCAGCAGATCATCCTCCAGCTTCTCGGGGAACTTGCCTTCTGGTGAACGGATGGAGTCCAGGAACATCTGGTAGTACTTGATGGACGCAGCACACAGGTGGTTTAACTTCTTGATGGTGTGCGTGTCTGGCTGATCCTGCTTATCAGCCACCGCCAGCTTCAGGTCCATCATTTCGTTGAAGGTTTCGGCAAGTTCGAACTGCAGCTGTCGACAGATCAGCAGGTAGTACTGAGGGTTCAAATCCTTGCAGATAGGCTCCAGCATATCAACACGCCGCTTGTGCATCTTGCAGCGGCGCTCCAAGCGCTCCTCAAAAAAGGCCAACACCTTGAAGAGCGCGCTGTGGTCCTGAAGGATCTCGATGTGATCTGTTACGTGACCATCCATCTCGAAATACTCCTTGGCCTGGGCGACGTAGCCCTGACCCACCAGGAAGATTGCAGAGGCTTCTTCGAAAATCAGGGGGAACACACAGCTCACCTTCTCTTCTTGCCTGCAAATCGAGTCGAAGGTGTCGCTGGAATCGAAGAGAACAGCGCTCTTCCTTCCTCTCTCTTTTTCCTCTTCTTCATCATGGCGTGCTCTCAGCAACTCTTCCTGACGATCTATGTCTAGTTCTCCAATGTTGTCCTGAACAGGTCAGCAAAATCATTTCGATTAATCTATATTAGCACTCACAAGTGAAAGGCACATTTACACCTGAGATGTAAGTGTGGACATGCCCTTAAAATATGTGAGGGCACTTTAAAGGTCGATAAAAAGAGGTGAGAAAAATGACAACAGACAGCAAGAGAAAACTTACCTCCAGAAGTTTTTTGGCATCCTCTAAGAGATTTCGGCAATATTTGATCCAACATCTGGCAATTTCAGCTCTTTTCTGACGCAGTTGTTCACGCTTTTCATATTCAACTTCACCTGCAAATGAAATATGTCCACTTGTAATGACTATATAATGACATGTGCTCTATACAGAAAACAAAAAACTTAAACAGGGGAAAAAAATAAGTTGAAAAATTAAAATGCGCACGGCTCAGGCAAAACATACAAACATACTTTCTTTGGCAGCAGCTTCTGAAGGGACTTCTCCAGCAAGGCCAGCAATAACATTAGCTGCAGCCAAGCAGTGTCGTGCCTCCATGTATCGTGTCTGAAAGACAGCAGAAAAACAACTTAATTATGGCAATTAAGGATTTGGTGTGGATAAAAGGATAATAAACTGTTTTCAGTGCATTAAGTGTCTGATACTGAATATACATTGCTATGAGGACAAAGGAAACAAGTTATCTACACAAAATAGACTGGGAGGGAATGAGGTGTAGAGGGAGAGAGCTGACAGCAACATCAAGCTATTTCAACACATTTTGAGCACTAGCTCAGTGTTCATACTGAGAGCCCATACCTTTGTGATATAGTACTGTGACAGTGTGGCAGCATTGATGGCCCACTCAAGTGGCACAAACTGACTGAATTTCAGCTGTCTTTGCAGTGTACTGTGACAGTACTGTCCAGCTTTCTCATACTGCTCCAGATTTTTATAAACTTGAGCCAGGTAGTAAAGTGTGTGGGTGTACACCATTTCAAATCTGTAAAGAGAGACAGACACAGTAAAAACAAAGCACTACAAATGCTTTAGCTCTATGATAGCAAATGGTCATGATCAGCACATCACCTCCTCATTCTCTCTTGCTGGGATGGTGCCTCTTCCTCCGCCACAAAGAAATCCACCAAATCCAGTGGTGGCTGACCATCCTGGAATGTTAAGCAGGCAGACTTTTTTTCTTTTCACAATATTGAAACACACTGCTACATTTCTAACAAGAAGCACTTACTGCTTTTGTGACATTAAGCTGAATTTAGTGTAAAGTGATGTAGATAAATGCACCAAATTATAAAGCCTACACACCTTCCTTGTAGCAGCCTTTAATCTCTATTTAAAAAGTAGCCTCAGTTCTCTTATTGAGATTGGCCTAATGGCATCAGAGAGTCATTACACTAACACACAGTCCACAATAAATGATCTTTAACACAACTTTTCAGGAAGGATACCCGTCTTGTGTGTGAAAGCCAAGAGAAGCATCCCTAGAGAAGCATCCTAAATATACTTATTTCTCTTATATGATTCTAAATTTATACTTATAATTTTTTGTATTACGTTAAGCTTTATCACCTGTCTGTAAAGCACTTTTTAAAAAGTGTTATGTAAATAAAGATGATTATTATTTATTATTATTGTACTGCACTAAAATACTTTCCTATAACACCACCTAGTGTCAGCACTGCAGTACTTCACATAAACAGAACAAAGGCTAGCAGAGGTTGGCCAGCATTCACTACGTCGCCAAAAGTTTGCAGACACTTGTTCATCCAACGTTTCTTCTGAAATCAAAGGTATCCACAGAGAGTTTCTCCCCACTTTGCTGTAGTACCAGTCTCTACTCTTCTGACAAGGCTCTACACTAGACATTTGAACCCTACTTTTTTTAGGATTTGACTGCATTTAGCCACAAGTGAGACTGTTACAGCTGATCAGTTCTGGATCTCGAACGTCACTCCAGCTCATCCCAAAGGTACTGAATGGTCTCCATCTAAGTGGAGTTGTGGATGGGGCTGTACCTGTGTGCAACTGAACATCTATGCCAGCAATAGGTGCACCTTAAAGTAACCAAATTACTAACCAAATAATCTAATAAAGTAATTAAAAGGGGTGCCTGGACACTTCTGGACATATATGCTAGTGTATCTGTTATAGACTCTAACAAAAGACAGAGTTTTAGGTTTTTGTGTCACCTCTTTCATGTAGCGAACATAAATGGATTCGGCTGTCTCCAAGAAGCCTTGAGCTTTCTCTGTTTCATCTCGTCCGGCCCACAGGATCCCAAGCTGGTTCTGTCAAACATAAAAGCCCAACAGTCAGGGTACATCACTTTTAGAGACGTTACTGTGGCCTACAACTTCACTCTGTACCATAATGCATCTCTGCACAACTGTACAAATGTTCATATCATTCTGTAAATATACTGTAAATAATGGGTTGATTTCAGGTTTCCTCAGATACTGTACATTCACATATTCATCTCTTTGGCTCCTTTTTTGTTAACCCTCTTAGGTCATGTTTTATTTAGTTTTACCTTAGTTTATATCTTATTTCCTTTCGAACAGTTGTTAATAGTCTGTGGACTTGTCTGGTCTGTTCAGTATGTGCACATTCATCTGACCCTGAGGTCTGTCTGAATGTTTATCATTAATGCTGGGGGGGGGTTTACCCTGGCCTGGATGTACAGAGAAACGTTCTCCCGTGTCACTGTACACTTCTCCAGCAGCTTCATGCAGCTCATCAGATGCTCCTCGCCAGCGGAAAGCTCCTCTGTTTCAATGTGGTTCACGCCCAAATAGTACTCGATCACCCCGAGCTTGGCTGCTCTGAGGCCGGCCCGGGAGTCTCCTGGGCGGGTTCTCCTGCCCCCAAGCTCCCCTCCCTCGGACTCGCTCTGCTCACACTGCCCGTCCTCTTCTTCTCCCTGCTCCTCCTCATCACTCTCATCCGTGTCGACATTCTTCAGAAAGCAGTAAATCTCCTTCAGCAGCTCTCTGGCTTTATACTTCGAGCGGAAAGGGTCGTTCTCCGGGTCTTTTCTCGACTCTTTTTCGGAAAGCTCCTGCGCGCCACGAAATTTCTCACACACCTCCCTCCATTCGCGGCTGTTGATGGAAGCCATGTTGTTTTCTCAGGAAACCGAGAGCTCGTGGTGCCAGATCTCGCGAGAGAAACACGCAACCAGGTCCACAGAAACAAGCCCAAAAGAAACGATTCAGCTCTGAAAAAGCCCAATGTGTGTGTGTGAGAGAGAAAGGCTGCTTGATCCGAAAAAAACAGATATATGATTTTATTTTGCATTTAATAAGCAACCGTTTAACTGTTATTTGTAATTTTACATTTTTCTTTTTAACGCGAAAGAAGTTGAACAAAATCAACCGGCCAACAAAAAATGAGGAATGAATGAAAGAATGAATAAATAAATAAAAATGAAAGTAAAGACGTTGCACATAATAAACTGGCCAAGTAATTATATCAGTGATGGCAAAAATATATTATTAAAAAATACACATAGCCCACTGGGCCTTTGACCGACCATCTTAATTAATGTACAGAAAACAACTTGTCTCTCGTCCTCCTTCTCTTCATCAGCTCGGTATTTTTTCTATTTGTATAGCTAAAGGTTGGACCTTTAATGTCGCGATTTCGATTTGTTTTGATTTGTATGCGGGGGGAGGGGACGGGGGGGGGCTGTGGACAAAGCAGTTTCGCTTTTTCAGACAGGTATAGCGGACAGAGACAGGATCAGGGTGCGAGCCCAAATTAGCCACTATACTTGAGAAACAAAGCCCCCAAAAACGCAACTCATGACTACCAATATTTGTAAGCGACTTTACAGAAAAATAAGTCCGAAGTCGCAAATAATAAATGAACGTGGCAACAGCGAGAGCCTCTCTCACCGCCACACCCACCGACAGAGGTCAGTAACGAGTCCGTTTTTCTTCTGGGAAGTGGAAGCGCAGTAATGCCCTGCGTCCAAAACCGTAAACTACCACACTAATAACGTGTAGGAATAAGACCCCGCCGGTGCCAGTACAGCAGCGGTCACCAGCCCTCCTTCTGGAGGTCTAACTTCCTGAAGAGCTTCAAGCTGTAGCTGTTATATAACATGCTGCCCCACCCTCTTTCTCTTCTGGAAAGGCTTTACACTGAACACTGCTACATCTGATTTGGCCAATCAGGTAACGTTATGGAAGCATATCAGTATCATATAATATATGTTGATACTGATATATATATATATATATATATATATATATATATATATATATATATATATATATATTATATATATATATATATATATATATATAATCATAGCATATAATTAAAGGCAAACATACAAATGCATTGCCTTTTTGCATATGTAAAAATGGAAATACATTTGTATGTTTACATTTAAATTTCCTACTATGCAAAGTTGAGCTCAAAATTCAAATTCAATACTGCGATTTTAATTTGCCATTTGATAAACTAGTACTGACATTTAATTCACACAAATATCTAGATGCTTTGTAAATAGGTTTATCTAAATAAAAATGTACATCGAGAACGTCTTATTTATTCTTAATGTGATTATGTAATAATTGTGTCAAAATGATAATTAAAATGTAATTTATCTTATTTGCATTTTTGCTCTCTAATAATGTATTTAAATTGTATTATCAAAGAGAACAATAGAAAAAGGGCAAAATTCAAACGTAAAAGGGAAGTAGCGCTTCTCCTCTTTGCAATTAAATATTCTTGCCTACTGCGCTCATTCTGAGTCAAAATGCCTTTGAAAATCCATTGGACCAGATTGCATTTTCATTTTCATGGTCTTCCCAACCTGTCAATCATCCCATCAGGTCAGGGCCAAGAGCACACTCAGCAGAAAAGGCATACATGAAAACATGTGGCTCTTTTCAGTTAGTCAGACCAATCAGCTCAGTTCACCAATAAGAGTTGACTCTTTCAGCTCCCAAATGTTTCTTCATTCAACAGTATTTTTCATTAGCCAGGTTAACAGTATAGTCATTTGTTTTTCAAAAAAAACCCTTCGTCTGCTTTCTAATTAACAGAAGTTGCATTATGTTTGTTATAAAAAAAAGTTAGATGTTGATAAGCAGTTTGACTGAATGAATTTCAAGAGGCAGGACTCACCGAACAAGCAGACGATAAAAATAGACAAAACCATTAAGCAGTCATTAACAAACAGGCAGGTCAGAGTCAAAAATCAGAATAACTAGCGAGACACACTCAAAAAGGCCAAGAACATACTAACACAAAAGCTTTAGTTGTGAATAATGACCATTTATTTTGTATCAATTAAAAACAAAAAAAGGCTCCTCAATGCAACTTTACAATGTTCACCTAAAAGAACTGACTCGTTTGCGAACGACATTACTAGTAGATTGTGGTTGGAACCAGACTCTTTAGGAAGGTAGATCTCCAGGACCAGGGCTGGTGACCACTGCAGTATAGTATGTTTAATAGTTTTGGACACAACCCTACTCTCTCTCTACTCTTAAAACCTCCACAGTGAAACTCAAGATTTAAATGGATGTGATCCACTGGAGTTCTGTATATTGGTACGTTTGGGATTGCTAGTAGGGGTGCATCGATATGGGAATTCTGTAATGATGCAGATATCCGATATTTTTGTATGAACATATTTGTCAACACGATACAGATACAAAATCTAGAATTTGGGGCTACATCCACCTGGTTCAGCAGTATAGAGAAATATAATGTATTTATATAAGGGCTAAATGCAGAAAATCTAATTAAATGGAGACATTTTAGCATAGTAGCCTAAAATTCTGCTCTTCCAAAGTACATTATTCTGTTCTAGAGTAATACATACATCATCAAATGATCATTTAATTTATCAGTCAAAACGAAACAAATCTAACAAATCTAAACACTAATCCAAAGCCAATTGCTTACTGATATTCATCTGATTTTGATATCATAGTGCCCATTAATGCTGCCTTTAAGTTGTGTCGGAAATATCGTCTTAATCAATGAACCTTGAGTTTCCGAGTTGGTGGAGTGTCAACAAAAAGCAACGGTAACCACTGATAAACTGGTTGTAATTTCAGTTATTCAGCAGACACACATGAACACTGCAGGCTAAAATCATCCATACGTGAAAATACACATAAGCAGGTTATGTGATGCTTCTAACTGGATAGAAACATTACTCATCTTATAAGCATTATCTGCTCTTCATTTTGTTGCGGTAACATAAAATGAACTGACTCTCTTTAATGACAGAAAAACAAAAGTAAACAAAAAGCATTATTTCCAGTGCATCTGTTTTGTTTCCGCTTAAATCACGTCATACTTACGACCTTCAAAGTTTTAAAAAGTAACTTCGAGGGCTTGAAGAGAACATAAGTCCATAGTAAGGACACTGACTGGTGTAAACATACCATCAGAAGTGGGTAGTAACCTTCACTCTGTTACATGTACTCAAGTAAAAACTTTGATGGGGTTTTGATGCAGTATTTTCCATAGTATTTTTCAGATTATAATACTTTCACTCTGGTATATTTTTGAGGAGAGGAATCCACTTTTTACAGATACATTTTGGCAATTAACTTTTAGTTGTCCCTTTTTTGTGTTTAATTTCATTGTGTTATGTTGGTGACAGCATTTGTAGTGTAGTGTAGCCACATTTCTCACTTTTGAGCTTTCACATTTTATTTTAGGTATAGGGCCTGTTTAATGCCGACGTACGAAAAAGCTCTATAAGTTGCTTAGTATATAAGTAGTTTTTGGATGCACAGTCAGATTCATAAGTATTTGGACAGTGACAGAATTTTTATAATCTGCCTCTGTACACCACTACAATGGATTTGAAATGAAGCAGTCAAGATGTGGTTGAAGTGTAGATTTACAGCTTTAATTCATTGAGCTTAATACAAATTTTGCATTAACCGTTTAGGAATTATAGCCATTTTTTACATAGTCCCTCCATTTTCACAGGCTCAAAAGTAATTGGACAAACTAACGTAATACTAAATACAAGGATTATTTTCAGTACTTGGATGAAAGTCCTTTACAGTCAATGACTGCCTGAAGTCTGGGATCACCAAATGCCTCCCTTGAGGTGCTTTTCCAGGCCTTCACTGCAGCCACCCTCAGTTCTGCTTTTGGTTTTGTCTTCAATAAGTGAAAAGCATGTTTGGTTGAGGTCAGGTGACTGACTCAGCCATTTAAGAACATCCCATTTCTTTACCTTACAAAGCTCTTGGGTTGATTTTGTGATATGTTTTGGGTCATTACTTGTCTACGCTGTGAAGCGCCCTCCCATCAGTTTTGTAGCATTTGACTGAATCTGAGCAGAAAGTACAGTTCTACACACTTTAGCATTCATCTTGCTACTTCTGTCAGTAATCATCATCAACACCAGTGACCCAGTTTCCACTGGCAGCCATACATGCCCATGCCAAAACACTGCCTCCACCATGTTTCACAGATGATTTGGTTGTGGTATGCTTTAGATCATGAGCCTATCCTTTCCTTCTCCATACTTCTCTTGTCTTGTTCTCATCTATCCAAAGAATCTTGTTCAGAACTTGGCTGGCTTTTTTTTAGATGTTTTCAAAGACTAATCTGTCCTTTCTGTTCTTGAGTGTTACCACCTGTGGTTTGCATCTTGAGGTAAACCCTCTGTTTTGACATTCATGAAAATGATACACCAACCTCCCGTAGAATGTTCTTCACTTGAATAGATGTTGTGAAGGAGTTTTTCTTCACCATAAAAATATTTCTGCAATCATCCACTTTGGTTGGATTCAATTATGTTCCATGCCTTTTGGTGTTGTTGAGCTCACCAGCGCATTCCTTCTTTTTAATAATGTACCAAATTGCTGATTTGGCCACTCCTAAAGTTTGTGCTATCTCTCTGATGGGTTTATTTTGTTTTTGCCACCTAATGATGGCCCTTCAGTTGACTATTGGGTTCAAGTTTAGTAGCCACACAGTCATGATTACTGCCAGACCTCTTGAATCTAAACATCTCTTAAATAACCTGTCTGGCAATGTGAAGCAGGCTAGAAACTCTCAACAAAACAGCACATGATACCACATTCTAAAGAGGTTTAAATACAGGTGCGAAACAAAGTCATTGAA